TGTGTGTGTGTGTGTGTGTGTGTGTGTGTGTGTGTGTGTGTGTGTGTGTGTCTGTGTGTGTGTGCGTAGCATGGCATGTGTGTGTAGTGATGGTGGTGGTATGTGTATGTATGTGTGCGTGTGTGTTTGTGTGTGTGTGTGTATGTGTGTGTGTGTGTTTGCGTGTGTGTATGTGTATTTTGCCGTTCTTGCATTGATATATACTCTTCAAGACACATTGCATTCCACTAGTCTTTTTGACGAGAATCATACTGACAAGATCTCAGTCTTTTAGTGTAGTCATGCGTACATGTATACACGTGAGTTCGAGTCACAACTCGTTCTGAAGCTATGTCCTCTGGAAAGACACAAGTTTTCCAATTTTGGCAGTAATGTCGAAGATCCTTCTTAAACAACTTTACAGCGTCGCGAGATAAGTTAAACCTAGACAATTTTGCTTTTTTTTCTCGCTCTGTCCAATGTGCGACAAATTAATGTGTAATTCCAGTTTCTTATATAGATCTAGCTGTGCGTGTTGAAAGGGACAAAATAGAACAAAACTGCATCGTGCCACACTTCCACATTTCTTGCTATATCAACTGTATCATCACGGATTTAAAAAATATATATATGTGCCGATGTATGTACCATTAATTGCGGTCAAGAGGAAATATAAAGAAAACAATACAAATTATTCATAATCATAATTTTCATCCTTGTTTCTGTCCTTTTCTGGACGACCTAAAGAGACAACGCCCACTGTCTGCTTCCTCCTTGTCATCATCGTCTGCTTCTACATCTTCTACACTTTCAAATTTCTTGCGATACCAACTGTTTCATCGCGGATTTTAAAAAAAAATATAGATACTCCCCCCTCCCTTTCAACACAATGTTAAATCATTTAGGAAGTGGGCTTCTACCCTGACTGCCAGGATCAGCCCCAGCTGAGAGGCACACAGACATAGCATACACGTATCGGCAGTAAGACTGAGATACTCGATGAAGATTCCATCAACCCGAGAATCAAACCGGGTCTTCTTCGTACGAAGATATAGAGCCTCACTGCACCACAGATGCCGAGGTTCGAATCATTCATTGCGGTCAAGAGGAAATAATATAAAGAAAACAATTTAAATTATTCATAATTATAATTTGTTTCCTTGTTTCTCTCCTTTTCAGGACGACCTAAAGAGACAACGCCCACTGTCTGCTTCCTCCTTGTCATCATCGTCTGCTTCTACATCGCCACTTCCGGCGTCAGGCCAGTCCACAGAACCCGTGACGTCCAACGCAAGATCAGTGACGTCAGTCGGACACAACAATGGTGAGAAACACGTGTGCAATAGTGTCTGTGTCTTGTTGCGATGATGAGGAAGCAAAATTGTCAATACTTGAGCTTACCAAAGAGTAGGGCATCCATATGTTGTTAAATTTTAATTATTTTTTTAAAATTTTAACTTTATAATAAGCAAGATACATTTTTAATCTTTCCGAATTGTATACAATTTTCTTTTTACTGAAGTGTCAGATAGACACCCTACACACAGTTGCTTTTCCGAAATTTATAATACGCTGTCTTTCCAAGTTTAGTACAGGACTATGCAGACCAAACCTTTTGAGCGACTCGTACATACATATTTTTGTTCTTTTTAAGTTTATCCACCCGACTGGAGACATTGAAACTCTTTGTCAAAATTATGCGGGTTCTTTTTTTTGGGTTGTTTTTAGTTTAACGTCTATCTAAACACTTTAACAGTCTTTCCAAACGGGATGTTACTGCTTACACCTTCACGTTCCCCACCCCCACCCCACCCCCCTTTCTGACAGCCACTGACCATGTTAGGCTAAGAGGGAGGACAGGTATCCGAGATCGATAAGAAATAATCGGACTCCTTTCGGATTTGAATCTCAAAGTTCCGCATGACTGAGAAAGATACTGCCCAATCTTCTTTGACATTACATGTTTACATACTGGGATCGGAGTAGGTGCAGCGGGTTAAACGATAGGTTATCGTTGCTGTCTGATTGTCTGGCTTTTTAATCCCTTTTTAGAGGGGGGCAGGGAGGGTGTGGTATTTGTTGTTTAATTTTCAGCACTAAATGATGCGATCGCGGACTAATCGTTTAACTATCAAAGCGTAACCCTTACCGTGTACTATAAAGAACTATTTGTTCAACGGCTGATCCACCAGGGATTTATCCTAAACCGTTTAAGATAAGTCTGCAAATAAAAACTTGAATACACAAAAGAGCATGAGTCGTGCATATTATTTGCTTGTTAAAACGTGATGTGTCGTGCATATTATCTGCTTGTTAAAACGTGAACTTAATCCACAGACGCAAGAGACTCGCCTCGACTCCGCGAAGTAATTGATGAGACAGACGGCTCAGTTTTGTCTATAGTGCCAAACAGAACGTCCAAGCTAGTCACCATGGACGCAGCCCCAACGCAAACCACCAAAAATGGCGAGGTTGACGACAGAAGTGGAGTCAACGAAGAATCATCCCTCGCTCTTGTGTCGCATACGAATAACAAAAACAGCAAAATCAATAACAATAACGAAGAAGGCGGCAAGGATGGGAAGTCGTCGACGTTTATCGGCACGCGGTCTTTCAACATTAACGAGGACGACGATGGCGGGGTGACGATGCAGGCTATCGCCGAAGACGAGAATCAGAACCAGGTGGTAACGGTGCGCACGAAAAAACAACGAACGCCCAGCAACGCCAATGAAGAGCTGAGAAACACTATTGTTGAACGCAACAAAGTGTCCCCCGGAGGAACTGTCCTCAAAGAAAGAGATGTCATCCAGACGAAAAAACGTCTGACATCTCGCGGTTCCAACTATTTCCAGAGAAGTGTTTACACCACGCGCACCAAACGGGACAAGGAAGGTGCGGAGCAAGTAGAGCATGACGTCATCGTCGAGTCGGAGAACAAATCTGTGAGCCAGGGTCAGTCATGGGGGGACAAGGTCGTTACTCACGTGACTCTTGGGGATCCGAACTCGACGTCTGCTGTTCCCGCCATCGAAGACGGGCAGACTTCTGAGGTCAAGGACGGCGAGGTGACAGTTGAAGGCGAAGCAGGTCCTGAGGCTGAAAGTGAAACTAGAACCGGTATGTCTTCATTTACATCTAACCAGAAAGTCTGTTGTTGTTTTGTTTTCAATACACGTATATCGTCAGTCTTTTTTTCTAATTTCCTGTTAGTGTAGACACTCGTATCCTTGCGACCACTTTACTGAATGCTTGAAACGTCATAAAATGTTGTCAGAATCAGAAAGATTATTCCCCGTTCACCTTACAAGTACAGGTCGTTACACACGGACTGGGAAGCTCGGTCCATGTGAAGAGCGCATGTTCTGTTTGCGTGTGAAAGTGTCAGGGTATTCATTTAGAACATCTCCCCATTAAGGCACCGTCCTACAGCTTCAGCTGCTTCAATTGTGTGGTTTCAGCGTTTGCTGGGCGAGTGAATAAACTGGAGGGCACTAATTATAGTTAAAACTTCTTTACTTGAACCCTGTGGTTTCTGTTTGTATAGCTTTTTTATTCACGGGCACTTATAAGTGATGGTTATCATGTCTGTGTGCTCCTCTTCAATCAAAGACATTAAGTTGCTCTTAGGCTCAGTCTACCTGAGTAATAATGTTTTCTTGAAACGTTTAAGCCTGAGAGTGATTGTAAATGTTTTCCGCCTCTATCAACACTATCTGGATCATAAAGGAGGCGGGCTGTTTCGATTCTGCTTGTCAGAGGGCCCACATAATATTGCACCCCACTCAAAGCGGGTTGAACCTAACACACTGAGTCAAAGAAACAACCCAGTTCTTAAATGATCTAAATTGTGTAGGACAGGGAGGTAGGTATCTCTTGTGTAATTCTATGAGAGCAGATGATGTAATCCTTGCTCCCACGTTAAATATGCTTGAGACGTTTGCAACCAGTTTACAACCAATCAATATCTCATGTTGTCGCTCATTTTACAAACAATCAGTCATGATGAGACATAATTTATCAGGGTGAATGCATGTTATCCTTGACCTTTAAGGCTCGTGGGTCAAGCAGGTGGGTCGTTTCTTCAACAAGCGCCGGAAGTCGATGACGAAGAAACAGCGTCGGAAGACCTCTGTGGGCGGGGCCTCCTCCCGCCACGCCCCTCACGCCACTCGTAGTCAGGCTCGGTTTTTGAGCGCCATTCAGTTCATGGGTTCCCACGCGAGTAAGCGTTTGGTGCTGTGCTACTGCTTTACTGACTCGCGTGCACCATCGCTCGTGTGTGTGTGTGTGTGTGTGTGTGTGTGTGTGTGTGTGTGTGTGTGTGTGTGTGTGTGTGTGTGTGTGTGTGTGTGTGTGTGTATATTATGTGTATGTGTGTGTTTGTGTGTGTCATGCCATGTGGATACGTAGTATGTGTGTGTACATTTTTGTGTGTAAGTCTTTCTGTGTATACATAATCTTCAGAATTTCTCTGTCTGCTGTTGATTATTTTTGGAGCAAACTGGAGTGTCAGTACCATCCTAAATCAGCCACAGGCATGGAGTTAGCTCGGTAGGTATGCTGGACTACAATCAGGAAGACTTCCATATGAATCCTGAATGAATATTACTGAGCACTTGTGTTGCTTTTGTAATGTTGTGGCTCTCCGTTCGCTAGATGTGGGTTTTCTTTTTTCGTGCTACCAATTTATTTCGTAGACATCGACTGTATTTCACTGTGGATGACTCGACAACTACCTATTCCCGTTCTTCTCTTTACCCAGACTCCAGAAATGCGTCGCTGTCTTTGTGCCTGTCTGTTCTTGCATATATTGTCTTCTCTCTCTCTCTCTCTCTCTCTCTCTCTCTCTCTCTCTCTCTCTCTCTCTCTCTCTCTTCCCCCCTCTCATTCTCTCTTTCTCTCTCTCTATCTCTCTTTCTCTCTCTCTATCTCTCTGTCTCTCTCACTCTCTTTCCCTGTCTTTCTCTCGCTCTCTCCTCACCTCTCTCTTCTGTCTCTCTCTCTTTCTTTTTCTCTGTCTGTCTGTCTGTCTGTCTGTCTGTCTGTCTGTCTGTCTGTCTCTCTCTCTCTCTCTCTCTCTCTCTCTCTCTCTCTCTCTCTCTCTCTCTTTCGCTGTCGCTCAGTCTCTGCATCTCTCTCTCTTTCTCTCTCTCTCTTTCTCTCTTTCTCTCTCTCTCTCTCTCTCTCTCTCTCTTAACTTCATCGTTTCCTTCCCTCCGTGCCCAGCGCTTTAAAATGTACGGTTGTCCTGGAAAACGCTTGTGATCGCAAATTGTTCCCACACCGCATGAGTCGGTGTTTTTTTCTTTTTGCCGTAATGTCTTCATCGGGACCTAATGAGGCCATTAATTATGAATTACCATTTCACAACAGAGGTCGGTCTAAGGGATCCTAACGACTGAAACGGAGAACACAATAATATACCATGACGACGTCTAGCGGTAAGGCGCTTAGCAATGGCACGCAGGCGACATGGGTTCGATCATCCTGTTGGGAGAATTTTTATCGAGCATCTTGGTCTCTCTGCTGGGACGATGGACTCATCTCAACTCGCGTTGGCCCTGACATGCCAGTTCGAGCCCGCCTTTATTATCTAAATGATTTCGATAGGGGCGTAAAACACTTACATTAAAAAATACCACAAGCCAGTCTGTAACAGGGACACCTATGTTAACAGCGGGGGCACCAGAAGGTAGAGAGCAGAGCATCCAGCCATATTGCGACTTCTGAAACGCATTAAAAGCTTATGTGGGCTTTCTGAGTAGCACTTTCAGTTTTTTTAACCAAGTTTGATCAGAATCGAATTATTTGTTTCGAAAGAAAAAGCGAAAACTGCAAACGATTCTACTTTTTAAAAACTACGATAGAGACCAAAAAATCTGCAACTCCCACTTAATCGCAAACCTCATTTCCCTTTCGATTTCCGCTTGAAAGACGTTATGAAATAACAATTCTCTCCCCTGTCAGCATGACAACTCTTTCCTTCAAAAAAATCTAGAAGACAATTCATCTTATTTCATTGCTGTTCAACCCATTTGCAGGAAAATGCGTAAAGGATTTGCGTGAAGCTTTGACCCACAGCCAACAAAACTAGTACTTGTAATTGCACGGTTTTACGCACAGTGTTTTCAGAGCATGTTTCTCAAATTCATTTCTATAGCCACAGCAGCGCTTTGTTCGCACTTATTGTCATGGAGTGATGAAGGGCTGTCTGGAGCATTGCTGCCCGTCCTCGCTTTCCGACAACAACACAGAGCGACGTGTCTCCTTGCCTGAGAGGGGGGAAATCGTTTACCTTTTTGTCCCTGTTTTGTGTAATATCCCTCGCCATCAATGCGAACCTTTCGATCATGAGCGACATATCATATCCACCTCGCCACGCCCCTCCGCCGCACTCACCATCAAAAAGGCCTATCTCGTGCTGTGTGCGGGCGACTCAGCCTCACACGTGCATCACGAACTCGCCACGCAACCAGAGATCTCAAGGGTTGTTCTGGAAATGAATGGCGCTTTGTCTAGACAGAGATCTATACACAACGAAATTTCCAATCACGCGTCCCTGTTAGGTGGCGTTGAGTGTCTCCCAGAGATGAGTTTCGCTCCCTTTTTTATTAAAGAATTGTTAGAGGGGATGAGGGTTCTAGGAGTGTTTACTCTTTACCCTTTTTGTCTTTTATCCACGTTTGATACCATTCAAAGTTCTGTTTTCTTCTCTTCGCTAGTTGATCAGTTTACAATTTCCTCCCAATCGTTCGACCAACTTTGTCAATGGGGGCGTAAAACTTTACTTTTTTGTCACCATTCCTCTTCTTTTCTGAATTTCCCCGGACTTTTACGTCATATGCTTGTCTGTCTACGAATAAACACGCGAAATAATTTACCAGTGGCTTATTGGACTTATGGAATTGGATGCATAATCACTTACTGACTCAGCTTTACAACATCTGATATTCTAGATAGTTGCATCTACAGTGCCCTTCATCACCTTCTCTATTTTCGGAATGAGATTAGAACAAGAAGCTAGATCAGAGGGCTCATACAAATTCCCAGAGGGACGTACGTTTTAACTTGAGTTGTGTCCTCGTGGGCTTCCAATAGCCAGACGTTTTCCTATCAGAGAAGAACATGATAGTTTGAATAATTAAAAATAAAAAATATATATTATATTTTAGACCTAAAAACAGCTGTGTAGATCTATTTTTAAACACAATTGCATATTACTCATAAGCCAACCGTAAGCATCAACAGAATAGCATCCATGTCATCCATCGACAGTCCGCTATTTCTTATCATAGCACCAGTATGACTTTTCCTGCAAATAAATCCCCCCCCCCCAAAAAAAAAACAACCAGATAGTGTACAGCTAACTGCTAACCGTTTGAGGGGGGAAAAAACAGGAGCCAATCGAATATGCGTAATTGATTCTTCAAGGTAGACATCTAAAAACTACAACTCTCGAGTTTCCTCGCTCATGCACAGCGAACACTGCTCCTTTTTAGACGACTGCACTGAAGAAAATAAAAACAACAACAAAACATTATCATATTTCAGGCATTTTTGTAAAGTCAAAAGGCCAGTGCATGGTGAAAAAGAGAAGAAAAAAATTCTGACAGCAAAATAATGCTTTGAAAATTGACTTCAACGAAAATAATATTTTCTGAAAGGGAGAGGAAGAAAGAAAACACTCGTTTAAAAAGGCACAGACGACGACAATTCACTACCGCCCTGGAGGGAACAGGCATGTTGGAAATAACGTTTAAATTGAATAACGTGACTTCAATTCAATGACGTTTAGAAATTAATTCAAAAGTAACAATAGTTCATGTTTAGGCAGACTTGTACTCTTTTACAAAGACGTGGAAACCTTTAATGACAGTCACTGCTTTTTCAACTGAGAGTTTCAGGGAAATTCTCTTCTTAAGTCTGTTGTTTACGTTTACATTAAACTGTTGGTGTTGCTTAATAAACGTTTTCCTTGCGAGATCCATAGACGATCACTTCACATCCAAGGAAACTCAAAATAAGAATGACTTTTTGTTACCTTTTTGTTGCTTAGTTTTTGCTAACATAGATTTGCATTTTGTCCTCAAAAGATGAACACCTGTAAATATGTCGAGAACACTCCCACTTCTTTTTAACTTTTTGGGCTTTGGATGTTTCCCAAACATTCGTGGGGGCTCTCGTGGCCTAGAGGTTAAGGTGCTCGCCTCTCATTCAATGGTCACGGGTTCGAATCCGGGTAGCGACAGAAAAGCTTTCTTCTCTAAAATAGTCTCCTTTCACCTCCTTTTCTGCTCTCTAGCAATGTCCTGACGTCTGCTTTCGTCTCCACTTTCTGTCTCCAACCCTTCACGCTCTCCAATGGGGTCCTGACTCTTTCTTCAGCCTTTCTACTACTACTCCTTGGCTCCTTCTTACTGCAGTCTTTCAGCCACACCACTGATTTTCTGTAGGGAAGATCTACACTTAGCCTTCTCGGACAAGGGTGAAAAATCTCGGAGGGCCCGTGTGCAAGTTGCGCACGTTAAAGATTTCCTTGCTGGTCTAAAATCGATAAGAGTAGACTTCTCCCGCCACCAGGGCAAAATTCAAAATTTCCTACCAACTGAAACTGGTGTGTCCCGCGCGCTCAAATGACCGTATGCAGTATGCAGTTGCGAGCGCCGTAAAACATTTACCCAAA